GAGGATAGGCAAACAGTGTATTTAACAGTTCTATTGTTCTCGCAATAATTTTTCAGCTGACAGAACAAGGGTTTGTAGTAAATTATCTACTCCGTACAACGCTCATGAACCACTGTGACTGTCCTCTGGATTGCATCAAAAAGGGCAACTATTAGAAACTCTCTTTCTATTAACAACTTCGAATTTATGCTTGACTGTGTTCGCGGTCATGAAATCAAGCCTTCTCCAAGAAAGTAAGCTCTACTCATCGCTCGAAACCAACATCATGCTCAAGATACTGCAATTCTATCATCCTTGATTCGGATTTGTCGAAGTGCCCTCGAACTCATCACTTGATAAGCTTTGCTGTGCGTGTAGTATGTTTGAGGAGGCCAGTACACTTAAACTTTTGTTTATATTCTCACAAGTTGCCTCATACATAATCTGTGATGTGCTTGAGGGTAAATAGTGGAATATCCCCTTCTTTATAAGTTTTGCCTATAAGATATTATGCATAACTCATCATTGTCAGACATTATCGTACGTAATTGCTGAAAAAATCAAGTCCACGACTGTCATTCTCAGAGTCAACCACACACCATGCAACGGGATATGTGTGATTCTCGTTGTCCCATGCAGTGGTCACCAACAATGTACCTCCATACTTTCCAGTAAAAAAGAAATTATCAACAGCCAACACCTTCTCATGTTTACAAACCCCTTATAGCAGAACCATAAGCAACAAAAAAATAAAATAAAATAAAATATAAATAAAATTTAAACATCATATTCTTGTCCCCCTTCAAAGCCGTCTGCTACCTTGGTTTGTCAATTCAAGCATATAATGGTATGCTTCTAATATTGCGTACCCATGCTTCGACGTGTCCCTCACAAAATCTTGTGCATGTTTTTTCCCTTTCCAGCATTTCCAGTAACTAATAGCACATCCCACCTCTATGCACACAAGTCCTCTGAATGTCTTTAGGAGATGGACATTTCCCTTCAACGAACTGACTTTTGATAAATTGTCTAATAACATTAGCGATGGTTGTCGATGCTCACCTAAAATATATTCCCAAACCACATGTGTGCTCACGGGTATATGTGCTAGGATAAATTTTTAGGACTCCGCCAACCTTCTACAAATAAACCTATCACTTGCACTTCGGTCACGCCTGCAACCGTCACAACATGAATTAGACTTTTTGGTGATGAACTCAAATTACCTCTCATGACAACAAGTTTTAGCTTTCTCACCACTTCCTCTTTATTGTCAAATAAATACCTATGTAAAACTCTGATCTATCCGTAAAAATATGAGCTGATTCATTACTAACCTGAATTGCCCCCTCTAAAACTGCATAAAGGACCATAGTGTTCTCTTCCTCACAAACTACACCTTTTGCTAATCTGTATTTAAAGGAATCTTTACATCCGCAGGAACATGTACGGGGTCCTCCTCCTCAACTTTTTCATTCTGCCGTACATGACCAACCTCTTCTACAGTGTCCTCCTCACCGCCCAAATCACCGCTTACTCTTGATTTTTCAACTAACAAATCAATGCCCTCATAGTTCAAATTAAAACCAGCCAAATCTTTGCCAACTTCTTCGTTATCCCTTCCTTTGAACCAACTTCCAACGGTTTATCACAAAGAAACCCTTAAAATCGGCCTCGACCATTTTTGCCCACATCAATCAATATAACTTCACACCTTCACCGACTTTAATATAGTAGGAGTTACCTTTAAATGTTCAGGAACTCTGCTTAAAACTACTCCTCACACTATATCACTACGTGGGCATCAAATCACCTCTTCTAATTATTTCATCAATTAAACTCATCAAAACTAACCTTGTGCTCACACAATTGGTATAACTTCTTTACTCTTCCCAATCCACTTCCAACATTTCTTCCTCCACCCACTCACCCAAAAAATTTCAACACCCAAAATAACTTGTCCCATGTCTAATAATAGTCAAGTACCTATAATGCAAGAAAAAAAAATATATTATTAACTGATGTATTAAGGGTTGAAAGATTTAAAAAAAGCATCTGCAGAGTCGCTTGAGCGATCTGGAATATTGTTTACTAGATCGCTTAAGAGATATAATGGATCGCTTAAGCGATCTTATGCCATTTACCTGATCGCTTAAGCGATCTGCTGCTATACACCCAGACTTATAACAATCGCTTAAGCGATCTTCTCCCATAAACCTGATCGCTTAAGCGATCTACGAACTGCTGCATTTCCCAGAGAGACCAGATCGCTTAAGCGATCCATCATATCTATAACACATTTTCAGTCATCTCCACTACAATTGGTGCTACCACCCCCAGCTACCCCACAATGCAAGAAAATATTCAACAAATTTCACTCATTTCAACTTCCATTACATCAACACACCCAACACCCTAACAACTAAATATCAAAATCACCTAAACCCAATCCATCATTAAAACTTTGTAAATTGAAATATAAAGGGAAGGGGAGATACACATACCTGACGAAATGTCAGGAGGAGGAGGAGGAGAGGATCTGTGGCGGAGGAGAAGATAGTGTTAATGCGGAAGAAAAATGTATAGGATAGAGGAAGAAGAAATGTACAGGAAAAAGAAGATGTAGAACGAAGAAGAAGAGAAGATGTCGAAGCTTACAAGGACAACAACCCGGGGGTAAGGGATTTGCTCTGTTAGTTAATATGGATAGTCGTTGAAACTCTTTTTCGACCAGTACTTTTAGGATTTTGAAAAATTAGTTAAGATACGTGCAAACTGATCAATACCCTTGGTCGTTAAAAAAAAAAAAAAACAATTTATTTTTTGAAGAGCTATAAAGCTATCTTGGAGATTTTGATGTAGTGTAAAAAAAAAAAAGGTTAAATAGCTTAAATCTTATTTAATATAATATTTTTTCAATTTCTAAAGTTTTTTTATTTGTATTTTTTATTTTTTTTAGGAAACTCTAACATTTCAGTTTCAGCCGGACAGTGGCAAAAAATATTAAATATTTGAAATTTAATTAATAATAGTACTCTTTATTCTAGAAACAGGACCTAGTTGTTGGAGGGAGCGGGAAAACAGAATTTTGATTTTGTTTTATTTTTCTTCTATGGAATCATTCACATTCCGCCGTTTATAACTTGAAAGTCTATTCATTTAATTAAAGAATAATATTATATTAATAACTTTTTTTCACAATTCTGATACGAAAATTTATAATTGATCAGTTCACAATGGATCTTGTATAGATTCTACTAATTAATTGTTAATAAATCTATATTTAATTATTGATCGATATCATTTTTTTTGAGTTTTATAATTATGGGTCTTTTTGAAACAAATTAAATACACATAAATGTTTAATAACAGATCACAATTGACAAGTTCTTTGTAGCTTGGAATCGGCCGGTTAAAAAATTTGTCAGGATATAAATCTATATCATAGTCAATGTTAAAAAGTATCTCCAAGAACAAGAAGAAAGAAGGCTAAAGAAACAAGTTTAACTGGTTTGAATTTGTCTTGCAACTATTTATTTGATTCAGCGTAAGTAGTGGCAGAGCCAAGAATTCAAGGGAAGAGAGGGAGATTTAAAAAAAAAAAAATGATATAATTTATAATTTTTAACATAATGATAATCGATAATTTATTTTATTCAATATAATTATAATTTATTTTTGACGCGTTTTAATGTTTTGAAAATTATCATTGACAGTACTGTGAAACAAATAAAATAAAAGTCCTAATTTCCTGAAGGTAAACTAAGTTAAAAACTATTTTTAGAATAAAATTTTTCCATCTTTTATTCTCATTGACTGATTTTCTTTGAAATCCCAACTTAACAAATGTGATTTATAACATGATTTTAGATACCATGAAAAACATTTGATAGATGCTTTTAATGTTAGTACGAGAAACACTCCGACACTAAAATATTGTAAGACTTCTTTTTGAGGATTCAACCTTACATGATCTATTAATCAAGGTTTGCCACCCATCAAGCTCCTATAGGGCTTCCTACATAACTTTGTTCAAAATATTATAGTTAATTTGCAACCATCTCTCCATGCGGCTAAAGTGGTTAAACAAATTAACCTAATTAATTCAGGATTTTTGACTCTTATGCCTATAGCCTTGACTCATTCTTTTCACCTCTCTTGTTCCCCCGTCTGTGAGTGTTAGTCCTTTCCATGCACGTTAATATCAAAATCTCAAGTTGCAGCCTATACAGTTTTTCCTCCTTCAGGCCTCAGCCAATTATTTTTCCCTTTATATATATAAGAAATTGATTGCCGCCACAGACGGCGGGAACAAAATATTAGAAACAAAATTTGAGTCATTTTTATCAAAGTAGAAGTGAAAACATAAGCCACAAGACGTTCATGTTCAATCAAACACTATCTCAGTTGATATCGGTCTCCAACTAAACAATCATCGACAAAAATTTGCCGCCAATTGACTCTGAATTTCATCGATATAACCAAAAATATATACTCAATAGAATATTAAGACTAAGGTAACCTTATGTGATTTATGAATGAAATAGAGATATGATACGCAAACCAAAATAAAAAACACACAAACCACAAATAGTAAAAGAAAGAAGAAGTACGCGTGAGTTATCTTGGTTCACTCAATTAACAGACTATGTCTAATAGAGTCAATATTATTTCAATACTACATCACCTCTCTGGTTTACAATAAAATAATTTATCCTATGATTGCTATTACTCGTTATAAGAGAAAAATGTGTTTATATACAAGGTTTAAAAGACTAAGACCTAGTAGGATTTCTATTCTTAAGTCCAAACCTAATAAATAATTAATAACTTAAAAAAAAATCCTTCAACATGACCCCCGAATGCGTCTGCATGACCCATTAATATTGAAATAGTCGACAATTCCAACAATTTATCATCTCCTTCTTTTATTGGTGCAAAATTACGATATATACATTATAGTTCCCTACCTTACTATAACAAGTTACAACGTGGAATTGCGGTTGCTTCTTTGCTACCAAATGGACGTGAAAGTAGAGTTCCATGTACGCTTCCTTTTTGTCTTGCTTCTATCATTGTCTCTTCGCCATGCAGTTCGTGCAGAAACTATGAATTCAACCAGGAATATCAGAGATGGCGAGGTGATTGTTTCAGATGATGGAAGTTTTAAACTTGGTTTCTTTAGTCCAAGGAATTCTACTTACAGATATTTTGGGATATGGTTTGGCGATGTCGAAGAGCAGACTGCTGTTTGGGTGGCAAATAGGGAAGATCCCGTGAAGTACTTCTCAGGAATTTTCAGGATATGGGAAGATGGAAACTTGGTGGTTCTTGATGGTAATTCGAACATACATTGGTCATCAAATGCTACATTTACAACGAACACTTCAGTTTTTGAGCTCCTGAAGACTGGAAATCTAGTACTGAGAAATGGAAGTGAAAGTGATAGTGATGATAATATTTTGTGGCAAAGCTTTGATCATCCCACTGACAATTTCCTAGCTGATATGAAATTTGGATTGAATTTGATGACGGGTGAGAACCAGCTCCTTACAGATTGGAGGAGTGACAATAATCCAGCTCCTGGAAAGTTCTCACTAGGTTTTGATCCCAGTGGAATTGCGCAGATTATAATATGGAACCGTTCCACTACGTATTGGAGAAGTGGGATTTGGAATGGGCAGACATTTTCAGGTGTACCGGAAATGACATCTTTTCATCTTTATAACTTCAACATTATTAAAGATAATGATAACGGGAAGTTATACAGTACATATTCTAGCGTAAATGTGTCTGCCCCTTCAAGGTTTGTGTTGAGTTCCTCTGGGAAGCTGGAGAGATCATACTGGAGAAATGAGACGAACTCATGGGACATTGTTTGGTCACAACCGAACAATGAATGCCAATTGTATGGGAAATGTGGTCCAAATGGGAGCTGTAATTGGAAAAAGAGTCCTGATATTTGCAGCTGCTTAAAAGGGTTTGAGCCTAATTCTGCTGAGGAATGGAAACTAGGAAATTGGAGTGGTGGGTGTGTGAGGAAAAGAGCATTGGAATGCGAGGACGGAAGCACTACAGATGGCTTTTTAAAGTTATCTAATGTGAAGTTGCCGGATAGATCTATATTGGAGGTTGCTCAGGAAACAAATGAATGTGAAGACATGTGCAGAAAAAACTGCAGTTGTATTGCTTTTGCATATGAGAGAGGATTGGGTTGCTTGACATGGCGGGACAGTTTGCAGGATATTCAGATATTTGACGAGGGCGGACAGGACTTGTACTTGCGTCTTTCCAAGTCCGATTTGAAAGGCATGCTTTTATCTTTGTTACAAATTCTGTATTTCTTCCTTCATATAATATAGAATCATGACAATAGATCGACAAGAACATTCTACGTACTTGCATGATTATTTTTGAGTGAAAATAATTTAGATGACAAAGTATATATGATTTTTTGGTGAAGGTAGTAAGAGCAAAAGGAAGTTGATTTTCATCATATCGGTGGTTGCATCAGTAGTCATTTTGACTCTGCTCTTTGTCATCTTCACATGCATGATGATAAGGATCCGAAGAAAGAAAGGTATTCTTATTTATAAAAGTGATTTCTGAAGTCATACTTTTACTTTATGTGGCATATGGGGTTCATATTAAATTGAATGTTTGTATTATAGGTACTAAAAAAGGCCACAAACATGGGGACTTGCAGTTGCCGCAGTGGGAAACTCCCATGAATTCAAACAGGCATTTGTTAGACAAGTTTGATGATGCTCTTGTCAGTCCAAAAAATCCAGGAAAAGGACCAGACTTACCAATATTTGCCTTGGGTGTTGTGAGAACTGCCACGGATGATTTCTCATTCGCAAATAAGCTTGGAGAAGGAGGGTTTGGTCCTGTTTACAAGGTAATAATTTCTTGATTTGGCTAATCCTGTTTACATTAAACAGGTTTCAGAAATAAACTTCTTTTGATACAGAGAATTTATGTTACAGGGAAAGTTGCCAAGTGGACAGGAGATTGCTGTGAAAAGACTCTCTAAAGGTTCAGGACAAGGGCTGCAAGAGTTCGAAAACGAAGTCATTCTTATTGCAAAACTACAGCATAGAAATCTTGTCAGACTTTTGGGTTGCTGCATTCAAGGAGATGAGAAACTTCTGTTATACGAGTACATGCCCAACAAAAGCCTGGATTCATTTCTTTTTGGTTAGCTTAGCACCATCTTGTCTCTTCATGTGAATTTAATTTATTTTTTCCTGAACATTTTTTTTTTAAAATCAAATTCTAGTTTACTAAATTTTAATTTCCTGCAGATTCTACAAAAGGAGAAAAATTAGACTGGAAAAACCGGTTTGACATCATTGAAGGGATAGCTCGTGGACTTCTTTATCTTCATCGAGATTCTCGATTAAGAATTATACATCGCGACCTAAAAGCTAGCAATATTTTACTAGATGCAGAGATGAATCCGAAAATCTCAGACTTCGGCATGGCAAGAATATTCGGAGGAAAAGAAAACCAGGAAAATACTAGGAGAGTGGTTGGCACCTAGTAAGTATATATGAGTTAATCAGTTGTTTCGTTTCTGAGAAACAAGTGTACGACAAAATGCATTGATGTCTACATGATTATCATTTTGAAATGCAGCGGCTATATGTCCCCAGAGTATGCCATGGAAGGTTTCTTTTCAGTTAAATCAGACGTCTTCAGCTTCGGAGTTTTGTTGCTTGAGATTGTGAGTGGCAAAAGAAATGCTGGATTCTGCCTCCTGGACCAGAATGTAAACCTTCTGGGACATGTAAGTTTCGAAAACTAAAAAATTCATTTGTCCCTTCAGGTTCTAAACTTCACCTTTAATGAATCATAACATGCATGTTTTCAAAAACATATAGGCTTGGGAACTATGGAAGGAAGACAGAATGCTTGAATTGCTGGATAAACCTTTACAGAGTTCACATGTGGAAAACGAAGTTCACAGATGCATACAAGTGGGTTTGCTTTGTGTTCAGGATAATGCAGCAGACCGACCCACCATGGACTCTGTTGTGTTCATGTTGGGCAACGAATCAGCCGTAATTCCATCACCGCAGAAACCGACATTTTCATTAACAAGAACTCCAAGAGAATCAGATGTCTGTGGAAGTAGCTCTGGACATTGTTCTGCAAATGGGGTAACAATGTCCGTGGTCATGGGACGATAATACCTTTTTAATTTTGTGTTATTACTAGTCTTCACTCCATTTCTTTGATAGGCATCGGCAAATGTTCTGCCTTTAGGCTTCAGCAAGTCCTCTGATCAGTACACAACTATTGTGGAATTTTAACGAAGAATATCTACACATCATGTTACAAATGAATTGGGTCCACAGATTTGATAAATTACATTAAGGATATATTGTACAAAGTATTATTTGATACAAGTTCAGGCTGTTGATGTTCAATCTGCAAGTTAGCATTTTATGGACCTTATTGTGCTGTTTGTTCTTCAAAAATACAGTCAACTGGATATTAAATTCTGCAACGATCTTGTAACAGTGAGACTTCCTTTTCTTGCCATGAGAACAGAGGAAAAAAAGAAAAATTGTTTTTTCAGTTAATTGTGGGTGGCAATTACTTTACTGCTAAGTTATTTTGTGGTTGTAGATTGATAAAGTGGGCGTGAGCAACAGCCCACTAACTTGGCGATGTAGGACAAATTTAACTTCAATACCCTTCTTTACGCTTAGCGTGCAATATTGGGTCCAAACCTATCATTGCTTTAAATAAACGTGGTTTTTATATCATGATAAAGTGGGTTGGATAGAAATCACTCCCAAAAGCTAAGTCCAACTACATATATACATCATAATAACCTACCAATTTGACGATATAAGACAAATTCAACTTCAATAATTTTCTGAAGGTTTGGTGGGTTTAGTTTCACTTTTGCGGAAGGGTTCAAGGTTCAAAAAACAAAAGAAATAAATTAAGCCACTCAATTTAACTTTCTAGATCTTACTGACTTGTCCAAATTCAGTCTATAATCTTTTGGATAGCTAAGTGACAAACTTTTCCATTTCCCACATATTATTTACATCGATCAAAGAAAAAGCTTTCAAGTTATAATATTGGTTTTTGTCAGCATCCATCAAGAAGAGCCTTCACTAGTTAAGCATTTTGTGTCATTGTAAGAAGATATTAAATATTTCATATTATATGATGTATTTATGACTAATCAGCCAATAAACAATCCCTTTTATTCATTAATGTCTCCACAAAATCAGACTGATTGGATAAATTAATCATTTGACCCAGTTGAGTTTCGACTTCTGTGAAGGGAATGTAATGATTATTGCAGTTGCGAGGAAGAGAGCTGAAGTGAAAAGAATTTAGGATTTCTGGGATTAGAGAGTAAAATAATTTACATATCTAGGTTAGAAAAATCAAACATGTGCCCCACAAAGCTATTAATTAATTTCCTCTAAGCTTAGGCATGGCTGCACAATCTGTTTAATTTCTAAGTTATTGACTATGGAAAAATCAAACCAGATCACATCATTTTGTTGGTGTTACTAAATCTATGAGAAGCAGACTAGAAACCACAGTTTTGTTCATTTTCTTTCAAAATTAAAATTCGAAGGTGTCAAGATTGACCAAAAGGGAAGCCTATCACATACTTACATGAAGCCATGAAGTCACAGCTGCAAGAAACTTTGATCTGGAAGCCAACTGTTAATTAAGGCCGCTTTGTATTGTGGATGATGTCAATGGGTAACATCAAGAATATGTTAAGTAGGAAAGTTTCTTTAATTATTTTCTCGCTGATATTCTCCTTCTTTGCCATGCAGTTCACCATTGAGGTGGATGCAGTCACTGATAGCATTTCACAAGGAGAAGTAATTACTCGCTCAGAAACTATAGTATCTCATGTAACACCTTTGAGTTGGGGTTTTTCTCATGGGGAATTCAACAATTTTTGTGGGATATGGTACAAGAAAATTTCTCAAAAACTGAGTATGGGTTGCCAACAGAGATTCTTCCATTAACTGGTGCTCACCAGCACTTACCATTAACAATGAGGAATATTGTAATCGAGATGGAAAAAATTACTTACAGGGTGACTGAAAATTCACTAAGCCGAATACAAGTGCCATTCTGTTAGATTCAGGAATTTGTTTTAGAAATGGGAACTTTGGTATATTTGTGGCAGATTTTTTGACAACCCTTCAGATACTTCTTCTTCCGGGAATGAAATTCGGATAGCACAAAGTCTGGAAAAGTGTGGTCATTAAATCATAGAAGAGGCCAAGATCCTAACGTCGGAGATGCGACTGAAAAGGATCCCAAGCAATCAAATGAAGTGTTCCTTACTAGGGGTTCTGGATTTCTTTGGAGGAGTGGAGTTTGGAATGGGGATCATTCAGTCAAATGCCTGAAATGACATTAAACTATATCTTCATTATAGTTTTCATAGTGATGAAAATGAGACATACTTCACTTATTCTATGAAAGATTCACTATTAGTCGATTTCAAATTGATGTTTCAGAGGGATGACAACTTTCATGATCAAAAAGTCAGGGGCTGGTTTATTTTCTGGTCTCAACCAGAGATTGTAGTATTTATGCTTATTGTGGCCCGTTCGGCATCTGCAGAAATGATAATGAATCGTTATGCCAGTGCCTGCGTGGTTTTAGAGCCTCAAACAATAGGGAGTGCTAGATACTTCTTCTGGGTGTGTGAAGAAACACCATTGTATTGTGAGGATAGCACTCTCTAAGCGCTAAAGACAGATTCTTGAGATGGATGCGTAAAGTTTCCTTTAGGACCTAAAGAATTGAAAGCTTCAGCTGTAAAGCAATGTGATCCGCTTGCTTTAATGAATGTTCTTGTACTGCATATGCTCCCAATAGCAGTGGTGTGTGTCTTCTATGGGATGGAGACCTATTGAATCTAGAACAACTTTCAAAAAGAGATCCTGATGGACGAACAAAATATCATCAACTTGCTGCTTCAGAGCTTCAAAATCCGGAGGTAATTTTATTTGTAATCTCCATACTTCTTCATTAAGGAATTCTTTTGACCGATATTATTTTCGGATCTATGAAATAAAAAGCTACTATGGATAATTGTGCTAGTATTTCCTGTGGCCCTTCTTGCTTCTTACTCTTTTATCACGAGGCAAAAACTAAAAGAGAAAGGTAATCTTTATCTCATCACCCTCCCATTTCATGTATGTCTACACTATGCATTTATATTTTAAGTGTTGTCTTCCAAAACAGAAGACAAACAAGCCAGGATATTTTCTATTTGATGTAATATTAATGGAACAAGTGCGGATGAACTCTCCAATGTAGATAAATCTGGCACACGTAAAAGTAAAGTGCTTGGCTGCCGCTGTTCAGCTTTTCAAGATCAACTGCTACAGATATTTCTCTGCAGAAACCAAATAGGACAAGGTGGCTTTGGACCTGTCTATAAGGTAGCATCCTACTTTCCACCACATTATACAAGGCGATCGATTGAGTTTATCTTTTGCTTTTCATGTTCTTGAATTCATAAAGTTCAATTCAGGGGAAACTACTTAATGGCACAGTTGCAGTGAAAAGGCTCTCGACGCAGTCAGGGCAAGGACTAGAAGAGTTGAAAAAACATGCTTATTGCTACAAGCTCCAACACAGGAACCTTGTAAGACTCTTGGGTTGCTTTATTGACAAGGCGAAAAGATTTGGGTCTATGAGTACATGCCAACAAAAGCTTGATTGATTCCTTTTTGGTCTGTGATTGGTCATTCTTCACAAATTAATATGTGCAGTACCTTATCTATGGTGTCTAATTTCTTTATATATTACCTTACGATTTTGAAACAGATCAACTAAGAAAGGTCTTTTAAGTTGGGGAATACGGTTTAAATCATGATGACATTGTATGTCATGCGGATTGCTAAGGATTTGTATCTTCATGAATATTCTAGACTAAATTATTCATAGAGATCTAAAAGCTAGTATATTCTATAGACAGTGACATGAACCCTAAAATATCTGATTTGGCATGGCAAGAATTTTGTGAATGAGTTACAAGCAAATATAAACGATTTGGGAACTTAGAAGTAAATTTGAATATTGAATGAATTTTAAATCCTTTGTAAATGCATTGTTCTTCTGATAATTGATGAAATGATTGAATTCAGTGATTATATGTCGCCGTAGTATGCCCTGGAAGCCTCTTCTCCATAAAATCTGATGTTTTAGCTCGGAGTGCTGCTGTTGGAGATAGTGAGCAGCAAAAAGAACACTGGTTTCTACTACGGTGACTCTCTTAATCTTCTTGGACTTGTAAGTGAAAATGTTTTTCTCTTCAGTTTTCAGAAAGGTTGAATTAAATATGATTTATTATATATATTTTTTTTCAGGAAATCCGTCACTAGGCTAACATTGTCAACTACTTTTGACCTTTATTTAATCTACCAATGTTCTGTTATTTTCTGCAGGCGTGGGACTATGGAAAGCGATAGAGCTCAGGAACTAATGGATCCAGAATTGGAATGAAGCATCATATCCCTGCTGATGAGATACATTAATGTCGCCTTCTCTGTGTTCAAAGAAATGCAGCGATAGACCTACTATGTCAGAAGTAGTCTCAATGCTTACAAATGAACTTGTTCTTCCTTCTCCCAAACAGCCTGCTTTCTCTTATGTGAGAAGTATGCAAAATTCAAACTCACCTGAAAGAAGGCCACAAGCCTGTTCGTGAATGAGTAACAATTTCTTTGTTGAAAGCTCGTAGCTATCTGCCCTGAAGTTCATGATATTATTCTCCAATCCTTTTTGGCCTACTGTTGTAATTTTTTTGAAGTGTTCACATCATTTATATGTTATTTTGATGATTTCAAATAAGGTATATGGCTATTGGGATGAAACAGCGGTTGATTTTGGACATCTCCACTCACATTTCTGATTCCAAGAATACCAACTAATGAGCTTGATACATCTATTTGTGTTTTCACCATGAAAATAACATGAAGTTGCTATCAATTAAAGCCGGGTTTGATTTCTGGAAAAAGTTTGAAAGTTAAGGTAGTAACAAGTGATGTTGAAAAAGATTCCACAACTCAAACAAAAATAGCAAACAACAAAAATAAAGCAAACCAAACACAAGATTTTAAAGTGGTTCAGCAATTCAATTTAGTCTATGTCCACTATCCACTCAAAAATCCACTAAGCAAAACTTACAGTTGTATAATTTTTAAAAGAGAAAAATTGCAAACTCCTTACACATCCCAAAGCCTAATTACAACCTTAATAAGAGCCCACAATACTATTATTTTGGTCATTTACACTTTTTAGA